TCCAGGGATTCTCTGCCATGCTGAGGCTAAGCGTGGATCTGGGGCTTAGCCTGGGAACTTAACCAAAAATTCCTTCAACTTCAAATTCACCACTTTGTGCTTGACTTCCTTCCTTCTTTCCTAGCTTTCTCCTAAACTACAAAACAATAACCAAATACTTGTAAGTTACCTAAAAACATGATTCAAAAACAAAATGTGATCACCTAACAATTTAGATATGTTTTGAGTTAAAAACAAAGTCTAAAGCAAGGAAAATTGATATAAGTGTTGCAAACTAGGCCATAAACTTAATGAAATCACAACACTTATCAACCTACTCCACTTACGATTAATTGGTTTTTTAGTGGGAACCTTTGAACTTAAAGGGGGTTGTGGTGGTGAAATGCTTGGGTGAGGTGATGGAGGCTAGTAAGGTGGTTCATAGTGATCTGGTGTTATGAATACATCATTGTTAAGATCATATGAAAAGTTTTCCATCCCAAAATCAACATTTTCTTTTCCAAAAGTTGTAGCATCAGTATCATTAGGGTCTAGTGACATGGAAGTGTGCCCACTATAGCGGTTTTACCCCCAACAACAATCTTCAAATCCTCATATAATCAACCATACTTTTTTCTTAAAGATTTTTGTGACTTGCGTGAGATTAGAAAAAAAAATACATTTATTAATATATTGAAAATAATATAATGCACTAAACTTGTAAACTATTAATATATTCAAAAGATTACGAAGTAATCTCACCTTTAAGTACTCTTTCCATACTTCATCACTAGCGGTGAATGTCTTTGTAATTGGATCCCACCCAAAGCTAGAGTTGTTGCGCATAAGTGTTGACATAACAAAAAGCACAAATTAAATATTTTTATTGGCCCGGAATGGGCCGTTCCAAAATCGGAACGGGCCGTTCCAAGGTCCAGAACGGGTCGTTCCAAGGTTCCCAAAAGGCCAAAAACCCTAATTTGGAACGGGCTGTTCTGAAATTGGAACGGGCCGTTCCAAACTCCTCAAAAAAGGCTAAAATGGTTAACTGGAACGGGTCGTTCCTAAAACGGAACGGGCCGTTCCTAAACCGGAACGGGCCGTTCCTAAATCTAGAACGGGCCGTTCCAAGGCCGTTCCGGTCTAAGAAATCACATGTTATTCTCACTACTGGAACGGGCCGTTCCGATTTCAGAACGGGTCATTCCAGTATACAAATTTTACATGCAACGGCCATATCCAGAACGGCCGTTCCGATTTTGGAACGGGCCGTTCTGGACCCCCTTCCCGAAGTCTATAAAAAGACAGCTGGGGCTCATTTCTCAGGACTCCGAAATTTCATCCAGACTTCCTATAGCTCGAAATTTTTGTTAATTGATCCATTAGCATCATGTAGTCCACTTTTTATAGCATCCACTATCAGTTGTAACAATTCATCGAAATCCTCCTTGGTCCAAGCTTCATAGTTTTCTTTCTCTTTCCTTTTCCTTTATTATTTCCTTGTGAATATCTCATTTTAATTACTAAAACAATATATGTCGTAAACTAGTTATAGAAATAATCATGGATAAGAGACAAAATCAATAAAATTATTTATTATTTTTAGAAGCACATCAATCATACAAGATCGAATATATCTTGGCTATCTAAATGGATCAAATACCTCAGCCATTATAAAAAAACATGTAAAAACGAAAATATAGAAACATAAGATAATTTTTTATATTAAAAAATTAGTATATTCGATACTGAGAAAATATTTAGATATATAATTTTTTTATATAAAAGGAAGTATTTAGATACAGAGAATATATATATATATATATATATAT